GCATCTTTGCCGGTTTCCAGACCATGAAGTACCTATATCCCCCTTGGGAATTGTTATTTATTTTTGTTTACATAAAACCCAAAAGGACATTAAAAACATATAATTCTTATGAAGGTTCTATAAGGGCAGTATAGGTACAGCAACACAGTCAGCGGCGCCATCCAGGCCGAGCAGGGCAACCGCATAGCCTCTTCCCTAGCCAGCAGTCGTTGTGCTTTCTGTCCGTTCGTTGTACATGTACTTAAAAGGAAAAACCCTCAGTATGGCTAAGCTTTTGATGCCGCGGCGATCGGGGAAGAAAGGCCCTCGATGTGGTTGTAAAGCTCGCCAACAGCGTTGCCAAGGCCAGCGGGGAAGGTGCCCTGGTGCAGCTCATGCCGGCATTTACGGCTCTGGTCAACTACCACAACCTTCGAAAGTTCGACCTCCCCCGTGGCGACGCCCATGACGTGCCCCGACTGGGCATCGAGGCCAAGCGGCTCATTGAGTTTGCAGATACGCAGCTTAGGAGCTGGATGGGCCACTTCGGCTACACCTTCTCTTTGCTGATCAAGCTGGAGATTCCTCTGGTCAACCTGTTGCAAGCACTGTCCTGGCCGGGTGTTGTGATGACGCGGCCGGCCGACTACCTGAAGAACACCATACACTTTCCGGGCCTGCAGCTCGCGAAGATTTTACCCCCCAAGCAGGTCTGGAGCTTGCCCCTTATTGAGCAGCATATCCATCCTGGCTTCGATGCTGCCAGCAACATGGTCCGGACGACTTTGCAGCCCATGTGCTACGCTCCCGGGTTCCTCTTTGTGATCCTTGCCACTGCCTCGCACATCAGGCAGGCATGTGAGTCACTCAACCAGGCAGAATGTCTCCAGGCCCGCAGGCTAAAGGTGTGGGATGTGGGTGCCAGCTACGGGGATTGCATGCTTTGGGCAGCCACCGTGCTCCTGGAAGCTTTCAGAGGGACGGAAGGCTGGCAGCTGGAGCTTCGTGGCTTCGAGCCGCTCCCCTCAGCGGCTGCAGCCTTCCGCCGTTCTGTGCGGGGTTTGCAGGGCACCCTTGCTCGATCGGACGCACGTGGAGCTTTGCGCTTCGCGGTTGAGGAGATTGCCATGCGGGACGAGGCCGGGGAGGTGGAGATCTCCTTCCCAAGCCACTCCATGGCTTTGGCCACCTTCCACCGCTGCGAGGAGCGCTACACTGGCGCGGCCTCCAACAACCTCTACCACTGCATTTCGCGGCCCACCCGGGCGGAGACTTTAGATAGCTACTTGGCTAGTTTCCCAGAGCCTCGGCCAGGACCCATCGACGTCCTCAAGTTGCACGTGCAAGGCGACGAGCTATCTTTTTTGCGTGGCGCGAACGCATCCTTCATCAGCGGGCGTGTGTGCTTGTTGCAGATGAATCTGGAGACCATGGTTTTGCACGTGGACATGGAGGATCCGTCGGTTTGGTTGGCCGAGCAGCTGATTGCTTCCTTAAGCGGGGCCGGATTCCTGGGCGTCTTGGTGAACTTGTGGGAAGTGCAGCCCGCCACCTTCGAGGGCATTGTGGCTGCCATCAAGTTTAAGAACCCTGACGCAATGGGATGGAAGCCGCCTGATCCGAACAAACGGCCTGAGGAGCTCCACTACGAGCTTGTGGCCTGGCGCCCTACCCGGCCCTGCCAAGAAAGTCTGTCCGTCAAGGCTGTTAGCAGCATGTGGCAATCGCACGCAGCTGCCTTATGATCCGAAGTCCAGGGAGCGCCGCGGAGGATTGCGGATGCTCAGCCAAAAAGTCAAAGCGACACCTGCAAGACAGAGTAAGCACGATCAAGGGCGGAGCGGCCAATTTAAGGCCCTGAAAGACTTTCTGCTTTGTCCCAATAGTTCGTGACAGTCCCTGGCCCTGTAGTCATCTCTACCCAGGGTGCCCTGATGCCCAAGACCCCCCCTGGCGTGTTCCAGTTATGGGAGTCGAACGCCACCCTCAATCGCACCTTAAACCCTTCGTTGCTGAAAGCCACTTCCCCCCGAAATCCCTGAAACGCACGGCTCTTTAAACTAAAAACCCTGAACCGTTCAGGCGCCGTCGCTCGACGGCTGGCACAGCGAAAAGACATGAACAAGGGTTTCTATTCCTGTTTTGGTGAGTGGATGTATAGAATATATATATATGTGTGTATATATATGTCTCTATATAGTGTCTTGTTGGGTATAATACAATCGGAACTCCTACCTACTTCACGCGAGCCCTTTTTCGAGGTGGCTCGGCCCAGTCAGCCGAGTCCGCGGTGCTGCGCGTTACGGCGCAGCAGGGTGAACTCCTGGAGTCCACCCGGCCCTCGTTTAGGGTTTAGGCTTTCGGCTTTCGGCTTTCGGCTTTAGGGTTTTAGGGTTTTAGGGTTTTAGGGTTTTAGGGTTTTAGGGTTTTGGGGTTTTGGGGTTTAGGGTTTGGGGTTTAGGGGAGCCCATGGCTTACTTCTTAGGCTTGGAATTTGTGATGTTCCCCCTTATGCTAGCAGTCCTTAATAGGGATTATAGTACCCCCCCCCCCCATTCGAATCCCTATTCAGGGCTGTTAGTATACGGGGGAGCATCCCAAACTTAGACCTTTATGATATTATAAGGAGGGTCAAAAGTGGTGTAACTAGGGTCCTAAACCGTATCTAGGGTGCTGAGAGACCCTATCAAGGGGTAAACGGGCCGCTAAGGCTTCGGGATTTAGGGTTTTTTTGGGTTTAGGGTGTAATTCGGGTGTAGAGTTTAGCGGGCTATGGGCTACAGACGGGTTCGGGATTTCGTTGTGTCTGCTAAGGCATTGGGTTATGAAATGGCTTTTGGATTTGTTTACCGGCTTTAAGGGTTCAGGATTTGTGTTTATGTTTGCCTGTTTACCCTTTCTTGGTTGGGTTTTTGGGACACTTCCCAATCAGAAGACATTCCAGCCTTTGGTGTGTAGGTTGAGTAGGCCGCGAACATGGCTGTCTGTCGTTGCGCTGCTTACCCGTCGTGCTCCGAAGACATGATGCACCCTTGGGTTGCTGATCTCCAGAGGAAGAGCTTGAAGCCTAAACTCTCTGCGCCCGGTCCACAGCAACGCGAAACCTGCGCACAAGTCACCCTGAACCCTTACGACCTTGTGCCCCACAGAGGCCACAGAGGCGGCAACTCACAAGAAGGGGGGGGAATGCTGTTGTCACCTGGTGGTGACATGAAGCATCGACCGCCTGTTCGGAATTGTTCGGATAATGTCTCGAGGCTTAGAAGCTTGAGAAGACGACAAGACAAGACAGCAGCCCGAGTGCGAGAGCCGAACCGTAGCAGTAACTTTGGGAAGTTCGCGCAGCACTTGGTTTCACTATTGTTCTTAAAATTTTTAGAAATTATATAATGTTACTGTTACTATGATTAATATTACAATTAATATTATGATACATAATATTATTGATACTCTCTTCTTCGCCGCCAGGCTTCTGGCAGAAGACTTAGCCAAGCGGCGCCGAGACGCCTTGCAGTTGGAGTTGGCACTGGGCCTCCGCAGCCCAGAGACAGGCCCGTTGCCCGTTGCGGGCATTTGGGTGTTGATCGGGGGATGCGTCGTATCTGAACGGTGCGGATTTTCAACGAGGCTTCCTGTGTTTTTGTTCTTGCACTTTAGTCCTTGCAGAGTTGCATTGGAGCTGTGCTTGCCCCCGAGTGCTGGTCATCGTTGTTACCACAGTAACGAAGACTTCTTGACCAGTAGCACCAGAAGAAGCAATAGGACTCCCAGTCCTTGTCGTCGTCATAGAAGCAAATGGTGCAGTAGATGTGGCGGAAGAAGAAGATCCGAAGTAGTTGTTTTTGGATGGCAGTGCTGGAGCTTGAAAGTACGCCGTTGCAAGATAAGGGGGGGGGAGGGGTTAAGCTCCAATCTTACCGTGAGGCAAACCAAGAAACCCTTGTTTAAAAACAGCCTTAACTCAAAGAGCCCTACAGCCCTAGAACCCTTTTGCAAGGACCCTAAGCCCCAAGAAGCGCAACAAAAAAAACCCTAGAACCCTTTTTCCTAGAACCCCAAGCCCTAAAACGCAACAAATAAAACACCCAGAGCCCTTTTTCTAGAACCCTAAGCCCTAAGACGCAACAAAAAGAAGACACCGGATCCTGAACCCCCGCAAGGCCAAGCACCGGGTGTTCCTGCAGGCCAAGGCCTCTCACCGTTGGGGTCAGAGATGTTTCGTTGACCAATGCTGGCTTGCGCTAGGCTTATTTTGCTCAATCCGAGATTTTCCGTATTTGTTTCATAGAAGGGGAAGGAGGGAGGGAGGGAGGGAGGGAGAGAGAGAGACCTAGGGGCGCTCTCTCTGCGGGGGGGGCTAAGCGTGCAGAGAGAGAGAGAGAGAGAGAGAGACAGAAAGAGAGAGAGTGCGGCAAAAGAAGAAGCGCGGGAGCCAGGGGCAACCCCGGATCCACCCTATGGGTGTGCAGCTGCGCAGGGGGCGGGGGGGGGTCACCGCCAAACCTGATACCCAGGACACGTCAGGGAGCTTGGCCCTACACTTTGGAAGACACACACGCAATCCAGAAAGGCCCTAAACCCTAAACCCAGAAGCCTAAGCCCTAAACTTGCAGCATGTAGCTGGGAATCCGAGTCATGCGGTGGATGCGGAGGGAACGCCTTGACAGGCTACCCCGGTATGCGGCCGGCTCCGTGAGCAGCCTCCGCGTGCCTAGAAAAGCTGAAGATGCGGAAGTATGCGCCGAGCTGGGAAAAAGCTGCGGCGCGTTCTTTGGACCCTATAAAATCAGCAAAATCTTACTAAACCCAGCTAGCGTCGCATCCCAGCCGCTTCTACCGGACCCCGATCCAGTGCTGCAGCACCTGCGCCAAGGATGACTTCCTCAGAAAGAATGGCAGCATGATCAGCACAGAGGCCGGAAGCAAGTCTAAGAACGTGGCACCTCGAGTTGTCGAACCCAGGCTTGTGGAACAAACGTCTGAAACCATATATATATATATATATATAATAATAATAATAATAATAATAATAATAATAATAATAATAATAATAATAATAATAATAATAATAATAATAATAATAATAATAATAATAATAATAATAATAATAATAATAATAATATAATAATAATCACAAGAATAGTTCTATTGTTGTATTTAATAATATACGGCCATATAGATAAAATAATATCATAGCATATATACACATCCATATAGATGTAGATATGTGTGCACATATATATATATTTATTTATTTATACGTAGCATGGTGCCCTCCACAGCCGAAGTTGCTGTGAAGCGCTGGCAAACGAATGTTTGTCTCCGGTCAGTCAAGTGAAAATACAGCAGCTAAACAGCAGCTGCTCACATGGTTTTCAGCAGGAGCAAGCAGAAGCAGCAACAACACTGACCACGACAGGCTTTCAGTCGGTATGAATTGGGGATTGCTGTGGGAGGCCAAAGACCTCTTCTGCAACATGGGCGCAGAAGATCAGCGCCGAGTGCTGCCGCGGTCTGAGAACGCACTACAGGTTGCTCACTGGCTCAGGCCATTAAGCCTCCAGATTGCGGAAGACATCGAAAGCTTCTTCCGTACAGTTGTTGGTTTTCGTTCCTTGCACTACATGCTCGGGGCCTCAAAGCGCACACGGAGTCCTGGCCTCCGAGGAACTCGGGCCCATTGAACATCTACCGTGACACCATGGCCATGTTCAAGTTCCGGGCCGGAGGGATTGAGGGGTTCGGGAGGGTTTAGGGGTTAGGGTTTGGTTGCAATGGGCCGTGAGGCATCATGAGGCCTGAGGCATCTGCTTAAAGCATAGATACTCATGCCACGGCCCCCCCCGGAGCACGGAAGCGGCGCTCAGAACACTCCAGCGTTCCATGAGGGGTTTGTTTATCGGTGGGACGCGGTCATTCTGCTGTTCTCGCTTTGCTTCCCACCTGCAGGTAGCCATCAGCCGAGATCGAGAACAGGAGATCGCCGACCGAAAAGGCCCACAGCATCTTCTTGGCTCACTATCATCAATTGTTAGTTCATGAATGCATAATGTTTGTTCAGTTTGTCAAATCATCATTCTGAACAATACTGCTTTCTGTTGCTTTTGTGCTAGTGTCATGATGCTTTGTGCTTCTACTATTGATAGGATTGCTAGTACTGGTAGTATTGCGAGCATCGCCAGTTAGTTTTGTTGGCCCATTGGCATGTTAGTATTGTTTTTTGGTAGCATTGTTGACGTTGTTAGTTCGTAGTATTGTTAGTATTGCTATCAGCGTTAATATTGCTAGGATTGCTCGTATTCTTATTCCTGCTATCGTTGATGTTGCATTCTGGTGTCCTGTCAGGGAATTGCTTCCACAAGGCCCTCGAGTCACTCAGTCCCCACATGCTCGTTTTCGAGCCCGTTTGGGGCGACAGGCGGTGACTTCGTGGCCAAGGAGGCGTCCGAAACGGAGGTGGACCTGCGAGCTCGAAGTTTCTAGCCCTCGGGTCGTAACATAGGTGAGGGTTCAGGATGCTGGCTCGGGCTTATGGGTCGCAAAAGGGTCTGCAGGGGTGTACGGTGCTGTGCAGCTTCATGCCAGGTACTTCCGTTGACGGATCTGTCTTTGGGCAGTTGAAATGGGCTTCCGTGTCTGAATGAGCGACAAATCGGCAATCTCATTTTCCAAAAAACACCACAATTCACCTTCCCACTATCCTGCTGCAAGCCTGTCATCTAAGCTTACTTGTGGCGCCGCAAGAAACATTGCAGCAGCGAAGCGCATGCAGCGATGGCTCCCCGGGATGACATCAAGTCACCTGCAGATCTGACGGCCACGACTACAGCTTCCGTGCCTCGGCAGCTTGCACGTCCTCAGGGTTTATAGGGTTTAGGGGTTAATAGGGTTTATAGGGTTTATAGGGTTTATAGGGTTTAGAGGGTTTGTAGGGTTTGTAGGGTTTGCAGGGTTTGTAGGGTTTATAGGGTTTATGGGGTTTATAGGGTTTATAGGGTTTATAGGGTTTCGGGCAAAATGGGGCAACTGAGCAACCGAAGACGGCTCATCAAGCGCAAAGTATATCCGCACGGTTGATGCAACTTGACATCCGATCTGATCTTTGCATGGTGGTTCCCGCCTTGGTGTTTGCAGAGTTTCGCAACAAGTGTGTGCTGCATTTCTTTGAATGAGGCGCATGGGGCATCCTCGCAGAGTTTCGAAACCGTCCGCGCCCGAAAGCGAAAATGGCGTGGGTTTCGAACATAAGGGAAGTGCATGCCTACCACGTCAGAACCTTCTTGCTTCAAGCTGAGGAGTCCGCATCCCCCATGCGAGAGGGTTTTGCTGATGCTGTGGATGCTGAGCAACCGCGGGTGACCCGATGGCAGTGTCTTTGGAAAGAGATTGCAGAATGCCTTCCGTCATGCTCGACTCTAAACCCTAAGCCCTTGCTTGGTCTGAAGGTCAAAGGATCCGAGATGGTCATGAATTTGATCGTGGGAGGACTGGCTTTGTGCAGCACAATCACCTTTGAGTTAGGAACATAGCCCTGGCTCAGAATCAGAAGCCGAGGCGGAATCAGAAGCTCGTTGTAAAAGCAATATAGCTAGAAAGTTACATACCTGTATACCTGTATCATTCACCACTCTCATTCCCTGGAGGTATTGGGGGGGGGGGGGGGGGGGGGGCGCTTCCTGAATGAGGACTGGGCACAGGCATGCTCAGCCTGCCCTGGGCCATGGCGGGAGCGTCTGTGACGGTCGGCATTGTGATCATTGTGCTGCTCTGACAGGCAAGTTGGGAAGAATGTTTTTGGATTATACCATGAAATTTCTTAGTTTGCAAATGTTTCCGAATATTGAAACATTCGATTTGGATATCTTAATGGTTTTTTATTTTTTCTCTCGGGTTTTGGCTTAAGGACAGGTTTTTGCTCAGGTATCCCCTTTTGCATCATGAGTGGTTTTAAAAATGCTTCTGCCTTCACACCACCCTGACAGCCTTGAGAGCCACCAACACCACGGAGCCCAAACGTGCTGGATCCGAGGCTGGTGGTTGCCGTGCTCCTCGGCTGATTGCACCTCTGACTTCAGGGTACTTATCCCCAATTCTAACTGGGCTATAAGTAGACTTATAATTGGGGTGATGTAAAGGTAAACATGAACCGCCAAGTAAGCTTACTGACGCATCCAGACGCCAGCTTGCAGACATGCTGAGGAACATCTGGACCATCATGATCCTTGTCCATGGTGCCGAGAGGCCCCCAGCTGTCTCAAAAATCGTGGGCAGTTGTGCCAGCACTGTCCTGCAGTTTGGCAAGGAATGCTCAGGCCCATACTTTTTGCTATGTTCAATTGCCCAGATGTCCGGGCGCAAGAATCACAACGCTGACACGGTCAGTTGACTCAAAGCCACCACAAAAACGCGGTTTGGGAGCCTACTCGCGTGCTGACATCCATTCCCTGTGATACTGTTGACCGTTCCTTCCGAAGCCCTAAATCCTAAACCCCGATGACAGTTCAACCAGAGACTGATGCGTGCCTGCAGCGTTGTACCCTCGAATAGTCCCCACGGAGCGGATGCCGTGATTGGTTTGGTGTGTGCAGTGCGGTCGTCTGCCAGCCTTGTGCAGGTGTGAGCGTCGGAGCCCCTAATCTCTAGTCCCCCACACCATCCCTGAAACCCTGTCAAACCCTCAACCCCAAGCCGCTCCTAAACCCCCCAAGCCTTCAGCAACAAAAGAAACCCAAAACGAGGTACCCTAAACCCTAAACCCTAAACCCTAAACCCTAAACCCTAAACCCTAAACCCTAAACCCTAAACTTTGCCCTAAACCCCAAACCCCAAACCCCTCCAAAAAGAACAAGAGGTACCAGGTCTTCGACCTCGGAGCCCTGTTGGGGAAGCTGCCTGGCAAGCTGGGGCCTGGCATGCAGCGCTCGGGCTGCACAGGCTTTTGGGCAGACGGGTAGGGCTTTCGAGGGTAGGGTTTAGGGTTTGGGGTTTGGGGTTTAGGGTTTAGGGTTTAGGGCTTTCGAGGGCTGACGGTTTAGTATTATTGGGGGTTTCCGAAAATTGGGGGTTCCCTTTCAAAAGGATGCTAGTATTTTGGGATTTTTGGTGTACCCCTATATACCCATGTAGGGTTGAGGGTTGATACCCGGCTGCTGCTGTACGAGACCTGTTGGAAAAGGGTTTTTCGGGTTCAGGGGGGTTCCTCTCATAGAGTTCCTTCATGTTTTTTTCCCTTGATCGGGTTTGTAGGGCGTGAATTAATAGGGCGTTTAAGAGGGTTTTAGGGTGTGAGCCCCGGATTGGAAAAGGCAGTGCATTCAAAGTCTATGGTTTTTTTGCATCACGCTTATCGTTAATGCAGCTTCTTACGGGTCTTAAGCACTGCAATTGACTCCCAACTATGAGCGAGTAGGTTTAGCAGAGGCTTCAACTGGGGAGAGTTGTTGGACGCTCAGGATCTTCACGAATCTCATGGTGTGGGTCGTCCTCTTTGGCTCACTTATCAGCTACATCATCAGCATCTGCGACTCCGCGCAGCCTTTCATTGCCGGGACCTTCCTGGAGAAGCGCAGCTGTGCTGCACAGCTCACAGCAAAGTTCCGAACCCTGAGCGAATTAAATAATCATCTATAACTCTAGAATTTTAGATAGAGAGGGATATATATATATATATATATGTACAGAGAGAGAGAGACACACACACACAGAATTATAAGGTAGTAGTGGTGTTGTCGGTTTATGGTGTGGTTGGGTCAAGTCCCTCTTATGACCTCCCACCTCCAAGGCCCTGGTCTTGTAGTTATATGCATCAGAAACTTTGTGCCCTGCTTAGCTACAGTCAGGTTGGCAAACAGGCCCAAGGGTTTATGGTTTAAGCTGAGCCCATTCAGCGGTTTTTGTGTGAGGGCTCCTGCCCTACGACATCTGCGAGATTTTGCCTGACAGCGTCAGAGACATCTTGTGATCTTCAAGCCACAACCCCGTGATTTTGCAGAATAGGCCTTCATTCAGCTGTTCGTGCTCTCACACTTCTTCAAGCCGGTACACACACTGTCTTCTTCAAGAGCCCGATGAGTTTCTTGTATGGTGGTGCATTCCATCATTACAAGGTAAATTGGGCCTCTGGGACACCCCAAATCATGAATAGTACATAAACTTCTGTTTACAAACAACCTAAATAAATCCAGCATGAATCCGTCTTCCGACCCAGGTTGGGCTCTGGCTGGCCTCGCCTCTATCGTGGTCCTGGGCCTCTGCTTCCTGGATCAGAAGTACTTGTCCTTCTCGCAGCTTGGCGTGTGCTCAGGGCTGATTTCCGGGTCACAGGACTCCTGCGCGCAGCTGTCGGGGCGCGCACGCTCTCGTGCCATGCGGGCCAGCTTTCAGGAAGGCCTCGGCCAATGCTGCACGTGCTTGAACAGAGGTCCGGTGCGGCGATCCTGGTCAACATGTTCCTGGGCTCGAGTTTGGTGATGTGGCAGTACATACATACATATATATATTGTATACATATATATATATATATGCTCACGCCGCAATGGACTACTCTAATTCCCGTTGTGCAAAAAAGCACACGTTTACTCAAAAAAGGTACACATTTGCAAGAAGGCCAGCTGTGGCTTATCCTAAGGAACTTAAATCACGGACGCACACCCAACACAAAAACACAAGATTGCCCTTTTTGGTCCAAACTCGGGCTTCTCTAGGCTCTTGGCCTAGGAAAATTACATTACCAAGTCCAACCATCCAAACCTCACCGGAGGTTCTTCTAGAAAACTCTGGATTTTGGGATCGGAGAAGGGGCGAAGAGGGTGGAGGCGGGGAGGGGCCACTTTATGGAAGAAGTGTCGTTATACTTCCGACGAAGCAGACATTGGATTAGGGATGAAGCCCCCCCTGCCAACTAGAGAAGTATTCTCCCGCGAAAATGGACACTTCACGCATTAGGGGACCCGTGCCATTCAAATGCACCTTTCACTCGACAACTGACAGAGGCTTGTGCGGAATCCTCTCTAAAGTACTGTTGCAGTGCCTCCTAGGATTTGCAGTTGGCTCCTAGGATTTGCGTGATACTTCCAGAGGCCCCATTTACTTGGGAGCACAGGATTGCGGGGAACGCACTCGAACGTGTAGTTTATAGATGTTTTGAGGGGGGACCGCACAGACATTTGCGTAGACAAGACTATACATATATATATATATATACGGATATAAATTAAAAAATAAAAATAAATATAAATATAAATATTTATTATATTTATATACACACATATACAAATACATCCAGGGGTGGCCCTGTCATTCTTGTTCAGCAAAAGCCATGATCCAGGTACTTGCTGGGCTTGGTTTGCTTCGAGTATGGCAAGCGCGCAACGAACCTTGGTTTAGGGTTTAGGGTAGTCGTGCCCTTTTGCCCACTTTTTTTGGTTCTAGACCCCCTTAGGATGCAACCCCAAAAAAGGGTATCCCTAAACCCTAAACCCCAAAACGGTACCCTTATTATCATCTGGTTACTGGCCTACCAAGGAATGACACACTCCCGACCGGCGTTTGCGCCCTGGGCCTCGCCAAGGCCTGGGAACAATTGCCCTTGCCGCAGACGGAGCTGTGAACTTGCAGTACGACAGTATCGTATAAAGAAAAAATGTATGCGTATACATATGTGTATGTATATATATATATATGTTTATTTATCCATTGGCTTATTTTTCATTTATTCGTTTGTTTGTTCATTTTTATGGACATGTATATGTGTATATGTCATGTATATATTTATATACACACCTGCAACTGATTCATTGTGCTAGCATCGCTCAGCTAATACCAGTACCTTGACAGGGGTCGGTGACCATGGTTAGCACGATGATGCAGAGCGTGATCATCCAGCACCTTGAGCTGCAATGATTATTTTGCGGATTGTTGCATTGCTGCTGTTTATTAGATATGATGCTGAATATTGTTGCTGATATTTGTATTTTAAAGCTTCGCATTCCCGTATGATCGTTAGGCCGCAAGACCATACAAAATACAGGCGTGCGGAGGTTGCGCTGGCAGAAAGCACAGTCGAAAACCTCCTTGGCTTAAAGCGACTTCTTACAGCGGGAGTCTTCTGCCGGCGGTGGGGGGGGGTAGGGCGGGGGCTCTTTTCTGGGACCCTGATGTACCCTGTCAGGATGTGCGTGCTGCCGATGTACAAGGAGTTGGAAAACAGATCGCCGAAGAGGTTTGCAAGGCCTGATGATGGGTGACACTTGTACGCTGAAGGCGGAAAAGGTTTGGAAGGGGCTACAGGGGTTTCCCTTCGTGAATGAATAACCATTTAAATTACATATATATATGTATATTATATACAAAAATGAAATAGGCTGCTGACTGTCGCCTTTTCCGTGCTGGCGGTGATCTTCATCATTCTGGCGATGGCCGGGTACTTTGCCTTCGGCCCATCGGCCCCTGGGCCTTCGAAGTGAGCGGGTTTCAGGATGCTTCCAAGAGAGTTTACATGACCGTGCCTTAGAATTAACCTTAAACCTACCTAAACCCTAAACCCTAAACATGTTTTCCAAGAGAGGTGCCGCGAGCCGAGGTGGAATCGAACTTGTTGTCCTCTTTGCCACGCACTACTGCGATGAACGTGCCTGTGCAGAAGATCAGAGAAGCACGCGCTGCAAGACATATAAGCACTGAGGGAGGCAGAGAGAGGACGCAGCGAGAGAGAGCGAGAGAGAGAGAGAGGTGCCCCTCTAGAAGTGATGCGCGCAGGTAGGAAGGAAGAAGGGAGAGGGAGAGGATTGCACTAACAGACACGCCGGATGATGCGGCTGGGCTCACCCACTCCCAACACAAGGCCTCAGCTGAGTAGAGGAAGAATGGCAATGCGGCAGCAACAAAAAAACTAGTTTTCATATCAGCCGTATGAACGGTGGTAATGGTAGTAAGTAATTGTAGCATTGTTGAGTTTCAAGTTGCACGTGCACGCAGTAGCTTGCTTGCGAGCCCTGTTCTCGCCTTGAGGTCGCTCAGGCTGGGATGATTCTCACAATGGCTGCAGTCTATCCCATCATGATGATTGCCATGAGTCCTGCCAGAAGTATGCTGGTATGCAAACCGAAATAGGCGGCACCACGCAGCTCACAGTGGTCTTTCAATCTTTGATAAGGGTGCCCGTAGTACATAGGGGTCGCTTAGGAAGGGAATGTAGACAACGATGCCCGCAACTCGAAAAAAGCTTGCAAGGATCGCCCCGGTCAAGAACCTGCCGTTGGAGCGCTTCGGCGCGCAGGCACCTTGCAATTGAAAGGGTTTAGGGTTTAGGGTTTAGAGTTTAGGAGCGAGTTTGAGTTCATAGGGGTTCTAATGGCCTAAAGGTTTTAGGGCATAACATATCGGGTGTAGGGACCAACAAGGGTGAGAGGAACAAATCTGTAGATTTGCTCGCTTGTTTCCCCCCCCCCCCCCTCCCGGCTTGCGTGGCCCCCTTCTCAAGTATGGAACGCACAGCTAAACCCTAAACCCTAAACCCTAAATCCTACTTTCAATGTTCACCCTACGCATGGGCATGCCCGAAGGCACAGGCCGTGCGGCAAAAGTTCCTGGCAGCCGCGTGGCGCAGAATCAAGCACAAGGAGCCCTCATGAATTCGAGTTGTCATGCATCATCCCTATTGGCGCATCCTGGTGTGTTCGTGGGTTCAGGGTTGAGCGTTTAGGGTTTAGAAGAGCAGGGTTTAGGGCTTAGGGTTCATCAGGCTGCCAGAGGCTTGCGGGATGTAGGATTCAGGATCGAGCCCAGGCCATGAGCTAACAAAAGCGCGCCAAGGTTGCCTCGCTGATCCTCTTCTTCGTGGTCGCCTCCTTCTTGGTGGCGTTGAAGGTGCGCAGCCTGGGCCTCTTGGCCGCATTGCGCGCGGAGTCGCGTGGAGAGCTGAAGAGTTTTGTGCATGATTCCGGTCGAGTCTGCGGTGGGAGCTTCGGTGGTGTATCAGAAACTCTGCGTGACGGTGGCCTTGATTTTGGCACGGCATGTTGTATGTGCAATGTGCAAGGATAGACTCATATGTTTCAGCCAAGGACTCGTGAACGTCCTGGATGGCGCTTTGTGCGTTGGAGTGTTCACAGCTTTGGCACCCGGGCTGGTGGGGCTACTGTTGATGGATAGACCCTTGTCAGAATATGCATCACACGGCTCTTTCTCTGACAACAGCACTCTAGCATTGGCATGGCCGAAGAAGGTCCGGGGAATCCTGATGCCTCATGCCGACAATGCTTGTGACATGGATGCTTGAGGAAAAAGCTTCGCCTGGAAGGCCGCCATGTGGACCCTGCTGATTGCGGGCCTCGTGTTGAGCATTCTGGGCCTGGCGCCGAAGCTCAAGACAAGAAGTGTTCCTTTAGGTCGTTCGTCGTTCGTGGGGAACTGATGGCCAGGACAAGTGCATGGGGGCTACGCTTGTGCAAAATGCCAAAGTCTCGAGGGGCTAGGTGCTTGTGAGGATCGTGGCGCTTGCTGCATGGGGCTTCACATTGGCTTGGATATCAACAGCAACATATCCGGCCAGTGCCTCGTTACACCTAGTTCGGTGACGTGGTGACGTGATCTACCACGAGGGGGTCCCAGATCCCGGAGAAACCGGTAGTCGCGGCTTTGAGGTTGGTTGGCATGGGGTCGACCTTACTTGCGAACACCTCCAGGATCCCAAGCCGATAAAGTCCAATGAAACCCCCTGCATTCAGGAACAGACCAATTTAGCCACAATCAAGAACGAAGTTCTGCGATGAAAGGGCAGTGGGCTCCCAAGAAACTGTTTGGAAGATGCCGTACGTAGATTGACTAGAGTAGTAGTACGACTGGTCCGTTTGCGCCAGTGCTTTCGTACGTATGCGGCGGCAGCACGTGGTGGCCTTGTGACCTTGCAAGGTGTTCACTCAGAACGAGCCAGACTTGCTGGCGCAAGCTTGCAAGCTTCCTCATCCTGCTGATGTGAGTATCGGCTTAGTTCTCAAAGATATCGGCATCACAGCGGCGTAATGCTGAACCCTGTGGTCAGGGTGGGTTGACGGTGACTTCCTGGGATCATTTTTGGGGGCGCCATACTGCCAGCCAGCACAGAGGCTGATTGGGCGTCTGTGCGCTGCTCCCAGCCGCCCCCGTCTCACTGAAGTCTCCCGCTGCGCAATGGCGCACGACCCCCATGCAAGAGAAGTGGCCAGTTCCAGCAAAGACGAGCTGCATATGCGTGTGCCAGAAGCCCATTTTTCGTGCAACCTGGGTGTTCCTGCAGGCTTGATACAAGTGAAAGGTAATGTGAAGAGGTTTTTGCCCAATTTGCAAATGGTAAAGTGGTAATGGTAAGCGATGACAAATACTCTCATTATTCATGCACAAATAGAGTTCAGGTAGTGGCGACTGTACACCTCGACAGCAGGTCAAAGATTGGTGCCGAGCGAACAAGGACTACCTCGGGGAGGCAGGGCCGCAGTGAATTTAAACAACAGCAAAATTATATTTATACAAACAGGATGGGAACATTATGATGGTGCAATGTAGATGATGAACATTTTTTAATGACTGACAGAAGAGGGCTCTCAGAACCCAAAGCTGTGGTCAGCTTAGAAACTAAACCCTAAACTCAGGGCCTAGGCCGCCCCCCTACGATGGGGGGCGGCGCTTAAGCCCTTCGACATCGATGGCGAAAGCCGACCCAGGTCGCTCGCCCGCCTGGGTCGGTAGCGCCCACGATGGGCCCGGTACCCGAACACGTTCTCCTCGGGACCAGTACTGGCCCTCCTGCGCGCCCTGCCCCTGACCCCCTGACCCGCCTTGGCCCCGCTGCCCCCCCTGGCCCCTGACCCCTGCCCAGCATCATGAAACTGAATAAGTCTTGAAAAGTGGACTGTTGTCGAGTTTAGGCCGAAACCCTAAAAGGAATAGGTTTGGGTGGCTTTGCCGCCTGGGTGGGAGAAAGTGTTAGATGGCCCTCCACAATCGGGCCAAAGCTGCTCTTCGGCACCTCACGAAGCTGTCGAGCTTGTTTCGAAACCTAATCTTCACAGCATCTACGCCCTATCACAGCAAACCCTAAACCCTAAACCCGAAACCCTAAACCCTAAACCCTAAACCAATCGAGGCATGTAATGACCGGGCGCTGTACGTAGGGGGTCTTGGCATCTTGGCTCAAGGTGTACGTTCCTTAGGGGTGTTGCGCTCTCTGGCTGTTGCATGTTGACTGTTATCCATGTTGTGAGTTGAAGTCGCTGGTGTTGCAATTGCCAGATTCCTACCACACGATCATGCAGCTGAAACTACGATGTGGGACATGCATGCGCGCGCAATATTGCTTGCACATGTTTAATTCAGACAGGCGAACACTGAAGACCACTGTCACCCAGGCAAAGCTGCGGAACGCAGCAAGAACGCTGAAATCCCATGCAATGTCTCATCTAGACACGACGGGAAGCCTACAACATATGGCACCCCAAAAACATAATTTCCCGAAACCCAACAACAACACAACAAAACTCGGTTGTTGCACGGTGACAAAACATTGCCAAATGTCACGTGCCCTCGTTCCAGCCACTTGCCCTTTTTTCCACTTCCACTATCTTTCACTACCATTCTCTTCTTCTTCGTGTTGGTGGTGTTGCTGTTAGCTCAAGATGCTTTGCTCGTGCGTCAAGTTGAGAGGGCTCTCCTGGTTCGCAGGAGGGCATCAAGCAGCTGGACATGTTTGGCCCTGCTGCCAGGCTCTCAGTCTTCCGGTCAGGAGTTTCATGAGACTGATGGTTCAGAGTTTGTGAGAGGGGGGGGGCGAATGTTTCTGCAGTAGAGTATGGGCGGTAGAGATGGGTTCTTCACACACACACACACAGCACAGACAAAGCTGCTCGCAACAGATGTCCTTCCTACAATGTCATGTTTTGCCCAGAAGCATGTGGTCGCCAGGTCGCTTGGAACGGGAATTGCGAATCATGGGCAGAGCTTGGCCTTGGGAGGCTCCCTCGGGGATGTTTTCGGGTCCGTGAAAGTGAGACGGGTACCACCTGCAAGCGGCCGCGGCCCCGCCTCCCAACGCTCGAAAAAAAGCAAGAAGGCGCCATGCAAGCACGAAAAGTCGGAAGAAGCGCGGAGCAGAATTGGGCACATCGATGTGCCTGCTCCTTGCCAGGACTCCTTGAACGAAAGCTATTTTGAAAGCTTTGAGGCAATCGGCGAATCTCAGCCATACCAACTACAAGGTCAAACCCCCCTGTGTCAGGTGCTGCAAAGCCTCGAAGGGCCACGAGCCATGAACTGTGATACCTCTGCAACTCCATGGCAAGCCTCCGGAAGTGTGGCCGAGATCACCTAGAGGCCGGCGGGCCCAAGGGAACGAAGCGAGAACAAGTCTTTGGGCCGAGGATCAGTGGCGAATCATCTCGGAGGGCCCCGCGGCCGAAAACATGGCCCTGCACTCAGAGATGGGGTTGTGGCTGTTCAGGGTTCATCTGCAGGGATCATAAAAGGGCCTTGGGGAAAGCTCAGGCCAAACATTTTTGCGTGCTTAAGGCTGCGAAGGTAAGTTGACCTGAGGAAACATTTGAAAAACGGAGCTGCAGAGGTGCGAGCAAGCCTTACGGGCTCAACACGTTTGTCACAAACGTTTGCTATACTTCAACGTGGCATCAGCGGAACTCCAGGTTTTCCTGCATGCGAGACCTCCACTGAGTTTGCATTCCGGGGGAAACAGAGATGCCAACACAGCCTACCAGGCTCACCATTCTCCCTGGACCACTAAGCCCTAATTTTCAAGGCTGCTGGAGGCAGGTAGCAAAAAATTGAGAAGTATGGCTTTTAAGGGGTCATAAGTCGCCCTTGAGTAGGACTCCGTGCACATCATCCAGTCCCGGGCCAAGAGGACACAAAGAAGAATGCACTATGCTTGGACTGGACTGGGTTGCTGTTGAGGAGAGCAAACGTAGCTCGGTTACCATCATTCATACGAGTTTACAGCAAACAATCTTCTTTCCTGATTGTGGAAGCTCATGTTTAAGTATCTGTGGTAACTTGACTCAAGTTCCTTCACGGCAAGCCGGTTGCCCTGCTTCAGCGTTTGGCTGGGAATTGCTGGGTGTCTTCACTGCTGGCGGCCACACATACATGCAGTGGGCTCGGGCCATATATATAGTAGAAGCCAAAAAGTTGGAGACTCAACAGCCACAATCCCTAAGAGTAAAGTATAGCGAATCCCAGCACTATTTGTCCTCAAAAAGGTTTCGTAACATTTGGGGGTTTACTGTAGACCCGGCGCACCCCTAAACCCTAAACCCTAGACCCTAAACCCGGGGATTGGAGGGCACGGCAGTATCTGATAAGACCTAAAACCAAGAATCGAGGGATCCACCACTTTGTTCAGCAATCGGGCAGTGTTTCCAATGCCGTGAAGAAAGTCGCAGAGTTTTTCCACGACAAATTCAGTCAGCCCTTCGATGATCAGGTGTATCAGTGGCCCTGGCTAGTGGAGGTTGGCGCAGAGTCGCCTATAGCTGAGTCTGAGGTGCTCTACCACGTTAGCAAGGCTAAATGCGGCAGAACCTCTGGGCCCAGTGGAGTCTCGCATGAACTGCTCAAGGAGATTGTAACTACCCCCCGCGGAGTCAAGTACCTCACGCGCCTGATCAACTGCATGCACGCTGATCCGCAACATGTACCCCCTCACATGTTTGATGGTTTGGTGGTCCTCATTGAGAAGACCCGATGCGTGAGCGCACCCAGAGATCTCAGGCCCATAGTGTTGACAGAGGTGTTGATAAAAATCGTGTGCTCTATCGTCATGGACAGAACGGTGAGTACGTGGCCGGCGCCACATGAACTTCTTGGGGGCATGCCCGGAATCCAGGTGGCTGAGACGCTGAAATGCGCTCAAGCCCTCTTCAGTCAATCGGCTATGTATCGGGATGAGTACATATACTTGCGTCTGGACATTGCGGGGGCCTTTGATAATTCTGACATCAATTCCTTGCTCCGATTGTTTGAGGATCATTACCACCCTCAGGTGGCCAGCTCTTGTCGCTTCATGCAGCGCATGATGCAGAACCAGCGCTTGCGTTTCACTTTCCTGGGGGCAGAGTGGATTTTGCCCATGATGCGGGGCACGGTTCAGGGAGGTACCCATTCTCCCAAGCTCTTTGCACACCTGCTGGCTGGTATTTTTAGCAAATTGAGACAACGCTGGGAGCGCGGTGGTGAGGATCCGCCCTTTAAAGCGCAGGAAGTTGATCTGTGGTCCCTCTTGTTCATTGACGATGGCATCCTCGTTTTTCGAAACATGCAACAGGCACTAAGATTGTTTCCGGAGGTATTGTTGGCCCTAAACGCGGTGGGGCTCCAGGTTAACTTGAGCAAGAGCAAGATCCTTGGTTTGGCATTGCCGGACTGCTTGCCTGGATTGTTTCAAGGGATCCAAGTTGTGGATTCAGTCATCTTTCTGGGGGTGCCCCTGAAAATAGATGAATGGGATGCTCATATCTTGGGCTCGTTGCTCGGAAGATCCACAGCAGCTTTTCTGTCAGCTCGGCGTCTCCTTGTCAATGCCCGCATTCCGCTCAGCAAGAGGGTCTACATGTTTGAGGCTTTGGTTGTCAGCTCAGTGGGTTGGGCCCTGGGGATGTGCGAGCCTACAGCTGATAATCTCCATCAAGCCAGCGTTCATGGTACAACTCTCATGGTATGGCTCTTGCGCCTTAGACAACATTCAGCTTGGCAAGACGCGCAGCAGTACAAGGCAATTAGACACGTGGCCAAGGTTTGGTCGGGGGCTGTGTGGGGAGGTGGCTGGGATCAGCTGTTGGCAGTGCGTCATTGGACTCTTCTGGGTCATGTTTGCCGGAGTCGGGTCTCTAAGCTGGCTATGGTGTTGACTTTTCAAACTTCCCATTTCGAGGCGGCGGAGGGCTGGCGGCGGCGGTACCGTACAGGAGGGGATTGGACGCGATCCAAAAGGGCCAGAAATTTCATGCAGACGCAGTATCTGGATGTGGAAGCAGCGGCGG